ATGCTCATGCCAATAGATACAGAAAAATCATTAAATAAAACTAGCATCCCTTCATGATAAAAACTAAAAAAATTAGATATAGAAGAAATGTACATCAGCACAATAGGGGTACGGTATGACAAACGCAGCCTTAATAAGTGAGAATGGGGAAATGCTTTTTCTCTAAGATCAGGAGGAAGACAAGGCTGTCCACTTTCATTACTATTAAATATAATATTGGGGGATCTTAGAGCTTTTAGGCAAGAAAAAGAAATAGAGGCTACCAAAATCAGAGAAGAAGAGATCAAATTATTCCTGTTTGCAGACAACATGAATTTATATATATCTTCTAAAGATTCAGAAAAAAACCCAACCAAACTTTTAGACCTGATAAACACATTCAAGAAGATTGTAGGATTATAAAAATCAGTAGCTATATTAGATGTCCATAACGAAATTACTGAAAGAAAAATCAGGAGAGACATTTCATTCACAATATCCCCATCAAGATACCAATGAGATGCTTCACAGAACTGGAAAAAAATTGTCCTAAAATTCATTTTGAAGGTTAAAATACCCAGAAAAGCCAAAGAAATACTGAGAAACAAGAGCAAAGCTGGAGGCATCACAATTATACTATACAGATATAATAAAAAATTAGGCATGATATTGGTATCAAAACAGACATGAAGATCAATGGAAAAGAATAGAAGACACAAAGAAATTCACATGGATATAGAAATGTGATCTTTCAAAATGGTGCCAAAAACATACACTAGAGAAAAGATGGCCTTTTAAACAAATGCAATACTAGATACATAGGCTTGTGGTTTCAGAGATTCAGTCCGTGGTGGCCAACTCCATAGCTCTTGGCTGGAGGTAAGGCAGAACACATGGCAGAAGGGCACACTGGAGGAAGAGTGCCCAGTTCATGGCATCTAGGAAGCAGAGAGGGAGAGGGGGAGATAGAGGAAGTCCAGCCACACCTTAGCTGCCTAGATTTACCACTCATTAATCCATTCAAATTATTAATTTATCAAATGGATTAATCCACTGATTTGACAATAGCTCTCATATTCTAATCAGTTCTTTTGGGGAACAGCTCATATCCAGACCATAACAACAGCTGATAGTATGTAGGTATGTTTTTGTGATAATTCATCCATTTTTGCACTTCAGGCATACTCATTTCTGTCTGTGAGTATTACACAGCCATTAAAATACTTATTTTTAAGAAAGCAAGTTTGGTTTATAACATTTAAAAAAAACAATTAATCACAATAAATAGTCACACATCTTGACCTTGAATAATGAGCACATGATATTCATTTTCTACCAGGCATTGGAGAAATTGAGTTGGAAATATATGGGATAAATTTTGTAATGGTTTAGTGGAAGGCACACATTTTTAAATGGTTATTTTATGGTATTGTGTGAATCCTACACTGATAGAATGTCGACTCCACAGCTTTGGGCAAGAGGCAGATTTATAGAAATTATGTTCTCTTCTCTAGGACTGATGGTGATGATGAAATATAGTTTATCTCACTCTTTGGTCATAGAGTAAAGATATTAGAGTGTTTCTGGTGTTTTTGAAATAATGGGATTGAGAAATGAGACATTGGTTAACAAGCTTAACCTCATTATTCCAAACTCAGAATGAACTTTTCTGAACGTGAACTGGTAAGGCAGTAACCTTTGTGAACCACCAAGTTCCTAATTGCAACCTCTGTTTATTATCATTATTCCTCCAAGGGTGAATTCTTTTATTCCTGATTCAACAAGTAATTCTATCCCCAAAGGGAGAAAGGAAATGAAGCAATTATATCCTGTTTGTTCCTAATTTGGAGATGAAGTGGAGGTTGTCTCCTAGGACTTCTGTATGGTTTTCAAAATTAACTCAGACCACTGTTCAGATGCTGTGAAAAAATATATAGCCATATACCTGTCTTTTTTGTTTTGAACTGATAGCTCTTATGCCTATTAGGGTGGATCTTTGAGCCCCTTAGAGTCCCTCACCTGTTTTCACTGTATTCTATGTCTTCTAGAGAGAAACTGAAGAACCTTCACATGGTATGTAGCTTAAGGTATCCATGCTTATAATCTAAGGGGCCATATTACTGCATGAATTGAATCTATGTTAAAATGTATAATTGCATATGTTTGGGGTGTGTGTTTATATGTGCCCAGCATGTGCTACTGATCTTTAGACTCTACCCCTCCTCATATGAGAGGATGACAGACAGCTCCATGTAGAGTAATTCATCTTGAATAACTATCTAAATTTTGAGAAAATATGGCAAAACCAAATCTCCATGCAGAATACTTTCTATCTGATCCGTATCTAATTTTTTAAAAACCAGTGAAGAAATATACTTCCTTTGTCTTATCATTAGCTACTTTTAGGTCTGGCTGGGTTTTCTTCCAAATTGTATTCCAAATCTTTGTAATTTTATTTATCTCTGCTGCCATGATATAAGTGTTATTTTGTACCTAAAGTGCTGCAATATATTTCTGCCCTCATTTTTGCCATACTACAATATGATCTCCACTCAGTGGACTACATGCTATTTAAATTTCTTAGTCAATTTTTTGCTGAAACTTTTTCTTTGGTATATTATTGTCCTGAAAATAAAATTGAAACTTTCCATTATGTCAGAAGATGCCTTCTATAGTCTGCCTCCTCAACAATTCACCAACCCATATCTGTCTCAGACTGCCCATGGTCTTGAATTTTCTCCATTCCTCAAATGCCTCAGCCATGACTTCTCCAAACACTTCACTAAAGTGCCCATTTTTAAGATCTTGTGTCAGTTTCTTCTCTTAAGAGCATCTTTTAAAGAATATGTAAAAATAGACATCCTCATTACTGTACATTCCTATAATTTGACCATTCATCAAAATCATGACTATTCTGATTCTATTTCTATGAATTCATCCTGAAGATACATATGTCATCATATTAAATGACTTATAAATAACATTATTGATTGCAACGTTGTTGGAAATAGGATTATAAACAACCTAAATGTCCTGCAGACAGATAATTTCGTTTTCATTGTGATGAACTGATTATTAATCACATGGCAATGAGGAGTATAACTGAATGTATAATTCACCTCAAGCAATAGATCCTATTGAGACTATTTTTAATATAGTAAGTTTACAAGTATTAGTATTTTAAAGATAGTTTGAATCACATTGGGGAAATGGGTACCTTAAAGTATACTTCAGTTCACCCCTAAATGAGTGATGAGTCACTGAGTGAGACACCTCTGCTGCTCTCAAATACAAAGACCTTAGGATTAAGTCAGTCTATGTAAAGAATACGGGTTGTAACTTTTGGTAGATACATCATCATGTTCTCTTTGCCTAATATTCTGTGATTGTTCACGTGGATAAATCTGTGACCCACTGACTCAAAATAGAAAAATGGAGGAATGATCAGCACAGCATAAAAATGTTAGAAATATGACAAAGATATCAGAGAAGATTCAGTGGTGTACAAACTGGGTTAGTAACAAAAAAGTGGTGAAAAGGTTTTATTTGTTGATGCTAGATAGACATTTACAGAGATTTTCTTTGCTGTTCCTAGTATTCTGATGACTTGAATAAGAATGATCTGGTTCACTCATACATTGTTGGTGGGACTGCAAATTGGTGCAACCACTCTGGAAAGCACTGTGGAGATTCCTCAGAAAACTTGTAATGGAACTACCATTTGACCCAGCTATCCTGCTCTTCTGTTTATACTCAAAGGACTTAAAATCAACAGAGTACGGTGACACAGCCACATCATTGTTTATAGCAGTACAATTCACAATAGCTAAACTGTGGAACCAACCTAGATGCCCTTCAATAGATGAATGGATAAAAAAATTGTGGTATATATACACAATGGAATATTACTCAGCATTAAAGCAGAATGAAATTATGGCATTTGCAGGTAAATGGATGGAGTTGGAAAATATCATGCTACGTGAAAGAAAGCCAATCCCCAAAAAGGCCAAATGTTCTCTGGGATAGGTAGATGTTGACCCATAATGGGGATGGGGCAAGGGAAGAATGGAGGAACTTTGGATTGGGCAGAGGAGAGTGAGGGGAAGGAAGAGGACATGGGGGTGGGAAGGATGGTAGAATGAGATGGACATTATCACTCTGTGTACATGTATGATTGTATGACTGGTGTGACTACATTGCATACAACCAGAAAAAATGAAAATTTGTGCTCCATTTGTGTACAATGAGTCAAAATGCATTGTGCTATCAGGTGTAACTAATTAGAACAAATAATAATAACAAAAAAAACGATCTGCTTTGAGCTGAAGAAATACAGGATATAGGATTTGGAAGAGACTCTACATTTTTTTCCACATTCAAGAAAATTTACTATAAAAAGACTGATGAGAGATTGAAAATGTTGAGTGAATTGTTGAATGAAAGAATTTTTTAATGGAAAAACTTATGGATGTATTAAGGGTCCATAAATATGGATGTATTTAAGGTCACTAAATATTTTATGACCTTGACATAGATTGATTCCCTTAATGCTCAAAACCAGCCCATGTGGTTCTCTTATCTTGAACTAACTCATGGAAATATAACATTAGTCTAGTGTTTCATAGGCCTGGGGAAGGCAAGAGAGGCCATCAGATTAGACATCTCCCAGTGGTCTCCATTGACTTGTCACTGACCTGGCCTGGAACATAATTTCATAAACTCATATTTCCATGATGAACTCATGGTCTACTCATGTTTGAAGTATATGTGATCTGATAATCATTGAAATATATCAAGTTTTCTCCAAATGATGTTGTGTTGGTTCCTGGGGGACAAAAATATCCTTTTTCCCGACCATCGATAGCTGACTAATGTGGAAGAAAAATTGAGGTATTTGAATTAAAATGCATTTACTGACTACTCCAAAGCCATATTTTTATTGTGTAGTAGTCACAATGACTTCTCCTTCTTTCACATTTCCATGTCTTTTTTCATCTCCAGCAAAAGAGAACTTGAAGAACATGAGGAGGGACAATCAGAGCAGTGTGTCCGAGTTCCTCCTCCTGGGGCTCCCCATCCAGCCAGAGCAGCAAGGCATGTACTACGCCCTGTTCCTGGGCATGTACCTGACCACGGTGCTGGGGAACCTGCTCATCATCCTGCTCATCAGGCTGGACTCTCGCCTCCACACCCCCATGTACTTCTTCCTCAGCCACTTGGCCCTCACTGACATCTCTTTCTCCTCAGTCACGGCTCCAAAGATGCTCATGAACATGCTGACACAGACTCAATCCATCTCCTATGCTGGGTGCATTTCCCAGGTATATTTTTTCTTGTCATTTGGGGGTCTTGACAGCTTCCTTCTGACCTCAATGGCCTATGACAGATATGTGGCCATCTGCCACCCACTCCACTACACCACCATGATGAATCAGAATCTCTGTTTGCAGCTAGTTATTGTGTCTTGGGTTTTATCCTCCACCAATTCCCTTGTACACACCCTCCTCCTAGCCCGTCTCTCTTTCCTGAAAGAAAACATCCTGCACCACTTCTTCTGTGACCTTTCTACTTTACTTAAGCTGTCCAGCTCTGACACCTCTATCAATGAGCTGGTTATTCTCATTATAGGATCGATGGTCATTACTGTGCCATTCATATGCATTCTGGTCTCTTACGGCCACATTGGGGCCACCATCCTGAGAAGACCCTCCATCAAGGGGATCTACAAAGCCTTGTCCACGTGTGGCTCCCACCTCTCTGTGGTTTCTCTGTACTACGGAACAATTATTGGGCTATATTATCTGCCTTCATCCAATAATGCTGATGACCTGGATGTCATTGTGTCTGTGTTATATGTTCTGGTCACCCCCATGCTGAATCCCTTTATCTATAGTCTAAGGAATAAAGATATGAAAGGAGCTTTGAGAAACATCCTCAGTAGAGGAACATTTTCAGTATGATAGACATTTTTTTTTTTTGCTATCATGGATATTAGACCTTCTCAATCCCTCATATGTATCCCTTTCTCTCTGAATTGCTGTTTCTTGGTGAATCCTGATAGGGGAGTCTTTATTCAGTCTTGCTTCAATTTGAATTTTGTTTTTGGCTCTGTTTAATTTTCAGAAAGATCTTAGTGCCTCAGGAAAGGTTTTCACAGACATGTCTGCACATTTTTACTTTTCACTTAGTATCCTTGTCTTACCAACATTGGAATTTTTATGTGGTCATAGCCATTACTCTTTTTAAAAAAATTAGATGGTTTTCTTTTTGTAGCAAAGCTTTTTTACTCACACATGATAACATATTTAATTTCAAATTAATTTTTTGTGTAAATTGTATGTATTTATTTTATATTTAAAATTGACACATAAAGTTGTACATATTTATAGGTACTCTCCTGTTTCTTTCCTTATACACATATTATTTTCTTATATATATTGCCTCAAATGAAGGTAGGCATATCTATGACTTATCATTTCTACTGCTTTGAAAAAGCTTTGAATAGATAAAACAAAGAGGATTTCAGGGTGGAAAAATTATTCTGTATGATGTTGTAACAGTGGGTACATGTCACTACGCACTAGTCTGAAACAAACAAAAGGGCAAAGTAATCACAACTGTACAATACAAAGCATGAACCCTAATGTAAACTATAGATTTCAGTTAATAATATAACAATTTCATTCAGTTGTAACAAAATGTATTATACCAACGCAAGATTTCAATAGGGCAGGGGAAAAAATGATGTCAATAGAGGAACTATGGCCAGTGGTAGGGAAAAGAACTGTATGAGCACTTTCTGTTCATTTTTCTGTAAACCTAAGGCAGATCTTAAATATCTATTTTTGAAAATTATGTTAACTTATATCTTTACTGCCAAAGTACAAGAGTTCCAGTTACTTTACCTCTTAAACAACTTGTGTGTTGACGAGGAGGTTTGAAAAAGTGCTCTGCAAGTGTTGACGAATTAAATGTCATTGTGCTTTGACTTTCTACTTCACTGATCATCAGGGCAGTAACGCATATGACTCTACCTGCTACTTTGAACAGAGACGGCTGGTATCTACCCAAATTTCACCTTTGTGAAGTTTCACTAGGAGAGAGCTGCTACATATTCAAGTAATCTATGTGGGTCTCAGTGTCATTGTTCCTAGTGAAAGAAAATGTTTGTTATTTCCTGGTCAAGATTAAAAAAAAAAAAACATGGTTCTACTCATCTTTTGGATGAAAACAGATTATCCTCTGTCCATGGAGATAATGAAACCTGGTTCCTGAATTACCAGATAGTGAAAAGCCATCTACTCACAAGGTGATCTACCCTGTTACATTACAACAACCATCATTACTCTTACTACTAAAAAATTTCTTCATGTGACATAAATGATTATGTCTTTCTTTAGCCTGTCTATTAGGTGGTTTGTTTTTTTACATATTGGATTGTACAGAGTCTTTATATAATGTGGATTTTAATTCTTTGTCCTTTGTATGCAGTGCAAATGTCTTCCATGATTTTTATATTGTTAAGTTAAAAATATGTACCAATGGGGCTGGGGATGTGGCTCAAGCGGTAGCGCGCTTGTCTGGCATGCACCACATAAAAATAAAATAAAGATGTTGTGTCCACCAAAAACTAAAAAATAAATATTAAATTTTTTTCTCTCTCTCTCTCTTAAAAAATATGTACCAATGTCTCAATTTTACTGTGTTTAAAGTAATTAATTCATCTATTTAGTTGGTGTTCTTGATTTTAATGGGATTCTTTGAGGAAATCACCTTGCAATGGCCACCATTGTGTTTTCTAGATACTAAGGAAGAGACATGGCATCTGGAAAAAGACAGTCTGATAAAGATGGACTTATATTTCTTTTCAAGAAAATGCCTTTTGTTTGCATATAGTAGAGATATCCCAGTGAAATCCTTTCTAGCACAACTCCATATTAACCCAAATTCAACACATACAATTCTTTATGAACAATGTAGTTGTGCAAAATATTGTCAGAGTGTAGGGGATATTTGTGTCTGTGGAAAATAGGAGTCAATTGAGTCCCTTGAATGAAACATATGCACCTAACCTAATTAATACTGTGTGAAAGAAACTGAGCTAGATTTCATCAGTTAGCATATCACTACATATATTTTGGTAATTATTCAATGTTACCCAGTTATAACAGCACATGAACAGTCCCATCCCTGGATAGAAATTTGGAGTAGCTTTGCCCAGTGAATCATGTCATTGTTCAATCAAATATCTCTCAAGTATGAAAAATAAAAACATAGGCCATCTTATCTTATGTATCTAATGAGAGTAAGTTGTATTTTAATGTGAAATTTTAAATCCTTCCTTCTAGGCCTTGAAAATCCTTAAAACACAAGCAGTTGATCATTTTTAGTATAATGTGAAGTATAAAGTCATTTAATCATTTTTAAATGTTAATAATGTAGTATTTAAAATTAACTTTTATAGTTTTCCTTTCCTCACTGCTCTTGAATGCCAACTGCAACATATCTGATTTTTGTAGATGTATCAGTTGTTTCTAATGTAGCTGTTATGTCTACATGGTTCTTATACCATATTTTAATTTGTTAATGTACATTTTACTCTCTTAAAAACTTTTAATTTATGATAAATTCTCTTATAAGGCAAGATGACTGAAAAGTAATATAGACTCTACGACTCATCCTTTCTACTGCTGGCTATAAAGGCAGGAAAACTGAGTGCTTGTGCTGAATAAGTTGAATACATGAAATGGTGTTTAGAAGCATTGCATAAATATTGATAAACACACTATGCAAGAAATAAAATTTTCATTTCATTTATATTTCATGGAATGATTTGAGAAGGATTGGCATTGGTTCTTCTTAAATGATCTGTTAGAACTTCATGAGAATCCTGGGTTTTTCTTTGTTAGAAGACTTTTTGTTACTGCTTTAATGTTGTTGCTTATTACTGATTTGTTTAGGTTTTCACCCCAAGTTCAGGCATGGGGTGCCCTGGCACCTAGGGTGAAGAGGAACTGCCGAGCACAAGAGGGCAGAGCTCAGGGATGTGTTCAGGACTGAGGTCTGCTGTAGAGGGCAAGCTGGGACATGGTGGTAGCTATGTTCTCTGTTCCCCACACTCGTCCCTCCCTGTGCCAGATGCTGAGTGTGGCGGAAGCCCTCAGCAGATGCATGCAGAGCCCCAGGCGTGGCTCTCTCTGAACAAGGTTGTGGCGGTGGCTTCAGGGATTAGATGTTTGAGTCATCTCTTGGCCCTGCCCTCTCTGGCAGCTGTGCTCTATCAATGCACCTACAAAGGTGCAGAGTTGCGTGTTGCTTTCTAGTCTTTGCCCCCCCCCCCCAGTGGAGACTCACAGAGGGAGGGAGGCAATGGTGGTGCATGCTGATTCCCAGGCGTGGCTCTCCCTGTCAGTGACTGCCAGCATCCGAGGTGTACTTCTCTGTAACCTCAGCCCTCCATAGAAGAGGTTCTGGGGTTGGAGGAGGCCCTCAGTAGATGTGTGAAGCTTCCAAAGCTTGACCCTCCCTACCAGAGGCTCTCACTGTGGCTGCCAGTGTTGGAGATGCATGCCACAATCCTTTCTTTTTCTTTTTTTTATATGATGCTAAATAACTTTTATTTATTTTTTTCTTTCCACATTTTTATTGGTGCATTATAGTTGTACATAATGATGGAATTTGTTGTTATATATTCATACATGCACACAATGTAACAATGTAATTTGGCAAATATCACTTGGATGCCACTCTCTTGGCACAACCTCTTTGGCAGATGTGCTTGATGGAGGTGCAGAGGTGCATGATGTGTCTCAGGCTTCACCTTTCTTGGCTTAGGCCACAGGCAGCCAACTTTTATCTTGCTAAGTCAGCCTGCTTCAGAGGCATCCTCTATGATATGAACTTACGTTCAACCCAGGACTTTAAACACTCTAGTATACTGTCTTCTGACTCCAAAGGAAGAATTTGTAAGACTCAACAGAGAGGTTTTGGACATGTTATTATCCACTTCTAGGGATACCCTCCTGTCTCCTCTCAGGAGGAAACAGCTAGTCCAAATTTCAAATTTTGTGTTTATGATTTTTGGTTTTGTAATTTATTCCCATATGTATTTGTTTATCTCTGAAACATATATTTTATGTATCTATGACCATGATTTTACTTGCTTGGGCTATCATAATATTAGACAATGGTCTAGTTAGCTTAGACAAAGACAATAGAGAATTATTTTTCCACTGTTCATGAGGCTAGAAACACATGATCAATATTTCAATTGGTTTGGTTTCTTGTTGAGGACCCTCTGCCTGCCATACCATACCACAGCTGCCTTTCATAATGTCTTTCTATAAGAGTATATCCCTTAACATTATTTAATTAATTAGCAACACTGATGGGTAGGGCTTCAATTTATAAATCTATGGGAGAGGAACACAAACATTCAGTATTTAATAATATATTTACATGAAAATTTTTGTTTTTATGTTTTGTCATATTATTGTGGCTGTGTCTTTGAGTGTGTTCCATTACTCAATTATAAGCTGAAGACTTGCATTTTTCTTACATTATTATTTTTCTTAATTTATCTAGTATATTACACAGAATTGCTCTATAATATTTCCTCTGTAAAATTATCACAACTTATTGGTTGTTGAACCTCCCCCCACCCCTGTTTTTCTAATAGGATTATCAGTGTTGCTATGAACCTGCTTATTTGTCTACACTGTATGTGTGCAGGACATCTTTGGGGTTTAAACTGATTTTAGAATGCATGATCCATGGCAATTGCATGATCCAATGCAAGTTTCCAATTGTTAATCATAGTGCTCCATTGTTTCTATATTAAAATGATTAAGACATCAATAATACACACCATTGTCTTCAAAGACAATCTTCAAAAACATTTTTTTTCAAACCCTTGATATAAAGTGGACTGCTACTGAGGTTTCACTATGGCTTTTTGGATTAATTTTGAGATTGATCATTTTTGTAGGTAGGGGTTAGCCTCAATTGAAATTCATTATTCTGAAATCCCTGTTCATCTTATTTGCCAGCTTTTGCTGTGGCTGCATCTTTGAGTGTGTTTCATTACTCAATGATAAGCTGAAGCCTGGGTCTTGTTTGAATAAAACTCAGAAAGATGAGAGAAGGTTGCTTTGGAAGAAGACATAGATGAAGGTCATCTAGGTAATGGTATCAGGTACCTGGGGAAGTAATAATGTCATTTGTCAATACAAAGAGACACTTTTCCTCATGCTGTTAAATGAGAAACCATGGAGAGTTCTGAACTTGCTGTTTTTGTTTTCTTTTCTAAGGTTGTTATAATTGTATATACCATTTGGGTTCATTTTGACATAATTGTGAAATTTGAAATAATCATGATATGCATGAAATTTAGCTTACTCCACCTCTCTTCCCATTTCCCGCAGGTTTCCTTTTCCCTCCACCCTGCTCCCTTGCTCTACTCTACTTGTCTACCTTCCACTCAATTATTTATTTACTTTTGGAACTGGGGATTGAACCCAGGGGTGCTCACCCACTGAACCACATTCGCAGCCTTTTTTGTATTATGTTTGAGACAGGGTTTCCCTGATTTGCTTAGGGCCTCACTGAGTTGCTGAGACTGGCTTTGAACTTTCAGTTCTCTCGTCTTAGCCTCCTGAGCCACTGGGATTATAGGTGTGTGTCACTGCACCCGGCTTCATTCATTTATTTTTAATTGGTACTTTTTGCACATATATAAAGGTGAAATTCACTGGCAAATTTATAGGTACATGTAGCATAATTTTTTCAACTTAATTCCATATTTCCTTCTATTTCCAAGACCTTCTCCCTCCCCCTCAATCTCCTTCTACCCCACTCACCTATCCTCTATCTTTATGATGTCAGACACCCACCTCCCTTTATGTCACTCTTGCTTCCACATATGAAAGAAAATATTCAATTCCCGATTTTCCAAGTCTGGTTTATTTTAGTTAGCATGGTATTCTCTAGTTCTACCCATTTACCAGCAAATGCCATAGTCTTGTTCTTCTTGATGGCTAAATAAAACTGTGTTGTGTATATATATATGTACCATATCTTATTAATTTATTCATCTATCAGTGGGCATCTAGGCTAGATCTATATCTTGGCTCTTGTGAGTTGCACTGCTATAAACATTGATTTGGCTGTATCTCCATAGAATGCTGATTTTATTTCTTTTGGATAAATTCCAAGGATAGTTGGGTCATATGGTGGTTCCATTGCTCAATTTTTGAGGATTCTTCAAAATGCCTTCTAGGGTGGTTGTACTAATTTGCAGTACCATCAACAATATATGAGTGTACTTTTTCCCCACACACTCACCAGCATTTCTTATTATTTGTATTCTGCTAGTTGTCATTGTGACTGTATTGAAATGAAATCTCAGTGTAGTTTTTATTTGTATTTCCCTGATTGCTAGAAATGTTGAATATTGTTCCTATATTTGGTGGCTGCTTGTGTTCCATCTTTTGAGAAATGTCTGTTTAGTCCATTTGTCCATTTCTTGATGGGTTGTTTTATATTTTGGTGTCAATTTTTTTGAAAATTTTTTAGGTATTCTGGATATTCATCCTCTGTCAGAGGATTTTTTTCAACACTTTAAGCTCTATCTTCATGCTCTTCATCATTTCCTTTTTACACAGAAGGTTTTAAATTTTATGCTAACCCCATTTATTGATTCTTGTTTTTGTTTTCATGAGCTTTCAGGGTCTTGTGAAGGAAGTTGGTACCAGCATCAAAATGTAGGAGTGTTGACCATAAACTTTCTTCTAGTAGTTGCAGAGTTTCTGGTGTAAATTTTGAGTTTTCTAAGTCATTGATCAACTTTGATTTGACTTTTGTGCAGGATTAGGGATAGGGATCTAGCTTCATTCTTCCACATGTGAAAATCCCATTGTCCAGCAATATTTGTTGAAAGGCTGTCTTTCCTGCAACATATATTTTTGGCATTATTGTCAAGTATCAGATGACTTTCACTATGTGAGTTGTCTCTGTCTTCTGTTCTATTGGTCATCATGTGCATTTTAATGCCAATACAATGCTGTTTTTATAACTATAGTCTGTAATATAATTTGAAATCAGATATTGTGATGCTTCCAGGATCCTTCTTCTTACTCAAGATTTATTTTGCTATTCTGGGTCTTTTATTCCTCCAAATTAATTTTAGGACTTTTTTCTATTTCTATGAAGAAAGTCATTGATATTTTTATGGAGATTACATTAACTCTAAATAGCATTTTGACAATATTGATTCTGCTAACCCAAGAACTTGGAAGGTTTTTCCAACTTCTAAGGTCTTCCTCAATTTATTTCTCCAGCTTTCTGTAGTTTTCATTGTCTTTGACCTTCTTGGTTAAGTTGATACCCAAGTATTTTATTTTTGATGTTATTGTGAATGGGATAGTTTTCCTGATCCTTTTCTCAGCAGAATTGCTGTTGGAGTAGAGGAAAGCTATTGATTTATGAATGTTGATCTTGTATTCTTCTACTTTGCTGAATTTATTTATCAGCTCTAGAAGTCTTCTGGTGGAGTTACTTTGAATCTTCTAGATAATTTGACTTCTTTTCATATTTCTATCATTTTAATTTCCTTCTCTTGTCTGATTGTTCTGATGAGAGTTGCAAGAACTACATTGAAGAGGAGTGGTGAGTTGGACATCAGACCTAGTTGTCAGACTGGTTACCAGAATCTTTGTAGAGCTCATATGAGTGAGCTCTGCAAGATAAGCTCTCTGCTTACTATGGCCACCGGGTACAATTCTAGCACAGTCCTCTCTGTGCTGCTTCAGTCACGTTGGCCCAGGCACACTCTGGACCCCACAATCAGCAACTGCTGGGTCAGGCTGGTGTCTTCCTGTAGTTTCCTAATCTCACAAATCTGCTCACTGTCACATGGTTATTCAAAACTGGTTCCTGCACAGGAACTCTGACTGCTGTGGACAATCTGCCCTTCAGGAAATGAATTGAAATACTCTTCACCCAACTTCTCCCACCATCTCTGTATCAGCTAAGATCAAACCCTCTCTCTATTCCACAGGTTCTCCCAAGTCAATTTTATTCACCAAAGTTTTCTCTCTCTTTGTGCTTCCCATCCTCTCAGTGGTGGGAAGTGCATCTGTAACGTACCGTTCCTATGTTATGATCAAAGTTTCTAACTTTCTGTGTCTCTGAGATTATTTTGCTGTCCAACATTAGATTTTAGTTCATTCTCTTGTTTGCCCACCTTGCTGAGAAGCAGTTTTCCCACTTTTAAATTCTTGAGCTACAGAACTGCTGTGGAACTGTTCCTCTAATCTGCCATCTCATGAACTTTTTTTTTAAATTACTCTTTCATGTCAGAAAAAGAGGGAGGTGACAATGACACTGTTGTGTTTGAGATGGAAGTTTTGTCAACCCTTGACTTCTACAAAACAGACAAATCAATTGGAGTCTTATCATTAGGGAAACCATGACTGACAGACCCAGAAACCATTCTGGAAGTTCAGATGTCTTACTGGACTTCTTCACGTGAACAGCAGTTCCTAGTACAACTAGAAATTAACATAAATAGAAAAAAATAACAATATTCACAAATATTCAAACATCTTCACCTGAACAATGAGCATATGAAATTCATTGTCTACCAGCATTGAATAAATGCTGGGAAGTATGAAATGGAGATTTGGGATCAGTTTTGTAAGGGTGAGTGTAAAGCAAGCATTCAAAGATTATTTTATGGTATCATGGGAAATGTGTACCAATAGAATGCTTTTAAGCAAAAGACTGAAAGTTATTGAAATGATATTTCATTCCCTAGGTCCATTAATAATGATGAGATTTAACATTCCAAGGTCCTTCATTCAGAATGATAGCATTTGACATTTTTTGGTGTTCTTGAAGTAATGTAGGGTCAAAGGCAAGAAATGTTGGTTATCACTCTTAACCTCCAGCCTGGCTAGTTATGGACTCTTCATCACACTTTCCCCAAGGTCAGTTGAGATGACAAAAAGCATTATGAATCACCAGGTTCCTAATGGCTGGCTTATTGTCATTATTCTTGGGGCTATTGTCATTATTCTTCCAGGGGTGAAATCTCTTATGTCTGCTTCCACAAGTACCTCTTACCCCAAGGGAGCCAAAAGCAATGAAGCAATTAGATCTTGTTGGTCTCTAATTTGGATCTGGAATAGGGGATTTTCACCCTTCTCCAGGTTTTATAAAGTCAGAGTTCACACTGATTTCTCAGGAACTGTGAACAAATGTATATCCACATGCCTATCCTGAATTGTTTTGAACCAACTCTTCTCCTTGTTTCAATGAAACTTTAAGCCCTTTAGAGATGCTACCTGCTTACTCTATTTTGTGCCTTTCAGAAGAAATGGAAGAATCTTCTTATGACTTGCTGCTGAAGGTATCTGTGTTCATCATGTAAGGGGCTTTGTCATAGCGGGTGTAGAATTTACATTCAGTAGTACAATCTTATGTGTTCTGTGTCTACGTGTGTTTGTCCAGTTGTACAACGGATCCCTAAACACTATCCCTCTCATATCACACTCTGACAGACAGCTACATGTAGAGTAATTTATCTTGAATTGAGTATTGATCCAAAATTTGAGATAAAGGAAAAAATTTCACATAGCATAGTTTAATCTCAGATTGATAAAATATCTAAGCTTTGAGAAGTGGAAAAATGTACCTCTTTTTCTTAACTTTAACCCCATTAGGTTTGTTGGGGTTTCTTCCAAATTGAATCATAAATCTCTATTATTTTCTTCATCTCTGCTGCCATAATAAAAGTGCAGGTAGGTATTATTTTGTACCTGAGCTGCTGTAATCACCTCCTATTCCTGCTGACACTCTTTCCTTGGTATAATCTGATCTCTACCTAGACGCCAGCAAGATAAATCCCTCCTTTATTTAATTCTTTACTTGAGTGTGCTACTGTTGTAGATATATTAAAAATTTCTATGATAGGTGTAAAGTGTTTTATATACTGTGGCTTCTCAATAATTCTCCAACTTGTGTATTTCCCAGACTGACTATGATCTGGAATTTTTTGTTTCTTAAATGTCCTGGACCTGTTGTCTCCACATACACAACTGAAATTTTCATAATCTTCTGGTGACATGTTCTTCTATTAAGGACTCCTTTTTAAACAATAATAAGAATCAACTTCCTGATTACCTTAGCCTCTGGTAATTTGGCACTCTATAAAAACCATAAATATTTTCCCTCAAATTCCATTCCTAAAAATTCCAGATATTTTTTCCAGATATATATGCTGTTTGTGAAAAATGATATAAGAACAATGTTTACCATATGCTGGAAATAGAAAAATATTAGAAATAACCAATATGTCTAACTGAGAGCTAATTACTATTTTCATTGTGATAAACTGATTGTTACCATCATGGTGATAAGTAACAACCAAAAGTATAATCCATGTCAGCTCACAGGGTCACATTAATATAATTTAATAACATAGTGTGCTGAAGGATATAAGAATTTTAAAGATAATTTCAATTAAGTTGTGAGAGTTGTTACGTAAACTTTAGTTAAATTCCCCAGATGAGTTTATGATAAGTCAGATAGTGAGACACTTCCTTAGCTATCAAATGATAATTTCCTTCACTTTCCCCCCACATTTTCTATTGGTACATTATGATTGTATATATTAATAGGATTTATCATTACATATTTGTACATGCATACAATATAAGAATAGAATTCAGCCAATATCACTCCCCAACATTTTCCTTCAGTTTAAACAAACATTACAAAGAATATGTATTCTAATTTTTAGTATACAGATTATAATCTGTTTTCCTATTATTTTGTGTTAGCTTACATGGGTAGGTCCAAGACTAACTGACCTGAAGGAGAAAAAGAGAGGAATGATAATATATGCAATGTAGAAAAATATTGAAATATAACAATGGTTAAGATTCTTTGGTATACCATTAAAGGATGAATGGATAAAGGATAAATAGTATGTTTTAACATGTGTGAATATACCACAATGATACCTCTTATTATGTATAATTAAAATGTGCTAATTAAAAAGAATCTTTGGCATCAAATCTAGGCTAAGAATCATGAAGAAGAATGGTATCATTTGTTTTTGCTAGGCAGACACCAAGAAACTCTGGCAGATTCAAGAAGTGACTGGAAAAGTCAAGTATTTCCCAATGTTATAAAGACTTCATCAGGGTGATTTGGTTTGATTGAGGGAATTCCCAAGGTGGTTAGTTTTGGGTTTTCTAGGTGGACAAATAACATGAACAAAGTTTTATCCTCACCCCTTGAAAATTCCATTAGAACGAGAGATGGAAAGTTAAGAATCTTGAGTGGAAAAGGACTTTCTTAAAAGAAGAACAGATAAACCCACTGCAAGGTGTGTCATTAGATATTTTATATTGTAGACATTGATTCATAACTTAGCACCCATGCCTCAACCTGTGTCCATATGATACTTCCACCAAGTCTTCAGATCTTAATATCCTGTAGATCCAAAGCAGTCCACTGTGTGCTCTTGATTCAGACCTTGGAAATAAATCATTAGCCAAAGTGTATTTCAGAGGCGTGGGAGGGGGGAGGCTAAGAGAGGTCAAAAACCTTAGACATCACACCATCTAATAGTCTTTCCATTAGCTGATTACTGACCTGGTCATGCACACTAATTCCCTAATCTCAAATTTCCATACGAGCTCCTTAAGTGGAACTTGGTGTGATTCGATATTCATTCTGATGTTTCATGGTACCTCCAAAAGATGTTCAGTTGTTTTATAGGTGGACAAATATCATCCTTTCCCTGACCCTCACTAGCCAATCAGTATGGCAAAAAGCCTGAGAGATTCAGGTTAAAATGCACTTACTGACTAGTTCAAAACCATGATTTTCTTGTGTAATATTCCCAAGGACTTCTAATTCTTTCACATTTCCATCTCTTATTTTGTCTCCAGAAAAAGGTAACAAGAAGAGCATGAGGAGGGATAATCAGAGCAGCATATCTGAGTTCTTCCTCCTGGGGCTCCCCATCCAGCCAGAGCAGCAAGGCATGTACTACACCCTGTTCCTGGGCATGTACCTGACCACGGTGCTGGGGAACCTGCTCATCATCCTGCTCATCAGGCTGGACTCTCGCCTGCACACCCCCATGTACTTCTTCCTCAGCCACTTGGCCCTCACCGACATCTCTTTCTCCTCAGTCACGGCTCCAAAGATGCTCATGAACATGCTGACGCAGACTCAATCCATCTCCTATGCTGGATGCCTCTCCCAGTCATTTTTTTTCTTATTGTTTGGGGGTCTTGACAGCTTCCTTCTGACCTCAATGGCCTATGACAGGTATGTGGCCATCTGTCACCCCCTGCACTACACCACCATCATAAGCCAGAGCCTCTGTTTCCTGCTAGTGGTTGTGTCCTGGGTCTTATCCTCTGCCAATGCCCTTTTGCACACCCTCCTCCTAGCCCGTCTCTCTTTCCTTAGAGGCATCACTCTGCCCCACTTCTTCTGTGACCTCTCTGCCTTACTCAAGCTGTCCAGCTCTGACACCACCATCAATCAGCTGGCTATTCTCACGGCAGGATCAGCAGTTGTTACCCTGCCATTCATGTGCATTCTGGTCTCTTATGGCCACATTGGGGCCACCATCCTGAGAAGACCCTCCCTCAAGGGCATCTGCAAAGCCTTATCCACATGTGGCTCCCACCTCTCTGTGGTCTCTGTGTACTATGGAGCAGTTATTGCACTCTATATTGTCCCCTCATGTAATAGCACTAATGACAAGGATATTGCTGTGTCTGTGTTGTATACTCTGGTCATCCCCATGGTGAACCCCTTTATCTACAGTCTGAGGAATCGGGATATAAAAGGAGCTCTCAGAAACATCCTCAGTGGAGGAACCATTTCAACATGATGAGCTTCATCTTCCTTATCAGGTGTACCGGTCTTTTAAAAAATTTGTTAGTTTGTAGCCTTTTGTGATAGTTTGTTCACTTCTCAAATAATAATTAATTTTTCTCCTAGCTTTATAATTTTTGGGGGGGTTGAATTTTGTAATTCCCTTTGAATTTATCTTTGTGTGTAACCTTAATTAGGATTCTAGATTTACTTTTGGTTTAAATAACTTTTTATATATTTATTTTTAATGGACAAATAAAAAATGGTACATGCTTATAGGGCAATGTGATGTTTTTATACATGACATATATCATTTATACTATTCAAATCAAAGAAAGTGTATCTATCTCCTCAAATATTTATCACTTCCTTGTGTGAAATTATTCAGGACTGTTTCTTCTAGTATTTTGAAATACATAGTATTGTATTATTATCACAGTTACTATACTGTGCCATGAGACATAAATTATTTCTCCTACTATAACTTAAAATTCATTGAACAGTATTTCCCCATGTCTCTCCCTTTTAATCTTTGCAAGTGATTCTAATTTCATATTCATTTTTCAAAACATTTTCACAAACTACAGAGCATGGCTTTCTGTCTGTGGAATGCCAGGACAATGGTACCCATACAACAGGCGCATGCCCCAAATGTCAAACATAAACTTGAACGGAGCCCTCGAGGTCTCAGATGTGGGTGCGAGGCAAACTAGTGAGAGGAGAGAGTTTTAAAGTCCTTCCAGGTGGTGATGTAATCATGGGGGATGAAGCCCATCCAGATCAGGGGCTTCAGCGAATCTGGGTCAGGACTAAAGAAAGAATGGCTAGAAAGGATGTTAGGAAGTCTAGGCAACCTGAACCGAGTTCAAGTCAGGCATCAGTGTAATTTAATTCACTCTATTTTATTATGAAAAGAAAAAAAGGCATTTCTATCCCTCAACTATCTAAAAATGTTCTATTTCCATCTGAAATGGTAGTGTGTTGTTTTAGTCCTTGAGAAACTGCCTCTGCTCAAGGCAAAGTTACTTAACTTCATTGCTATAAACTGATTGCTGTGACAAACATGCTTGCATGTATTATTTAACTCTAGCATTTGGTATGAAAGGGGCAATTCAAAAAATTTTTTTAAACTAGGCATCTTGCACTAAGTTAACAATATAGTAAAACTGGAAATCAAACTTCTGTATGTGAAGTCACATCCTGAGACATACAAGCCACTTGAATAATTTTCAAACCTGAGCAATATTTTTAGGCAATTTTATAGAAAATTTTGTTTTAATCTTTAATAAATATTGAAATAACATTTAAACAAAATAACATACATAACATATGTAGAATTAAATATATGTGCCAGGTATATTTTTTTCTTATTGTTTGGGGATCTTGACAGCTGTAACATGCTTATATATGTGTATGTATTCATATATAGATGATATATGATCATATTTTAGAGAAAAATATTAAAATAAATATTCATTACAAATATCTTGGCTAGAAATACCTAGAAAACTAACAATATATTGGAGTTCTTTCGGCCATTTCTGAATTGTATTTTCACTCTTCTTAAAGTTACTCAGTATTTTACTATTTTCTATGTTCCTTTACTTTTGGTAAGAATTTTAACATTTAAAAAAATCTTTCCTAATCCATAATTCATGTAAATAAGACTTTATTTATTTTATTTTTCTTTTGTTTTTACTATTATCCTTTTTAAATTTATTTAAATATTTTCATCTTCTGCTGTGAGACTATAACACATTTATTTTCTCTCTTTTCGGGGGTCATTTTTTTGGATTTACTGTATTGCTGTTATGAACAATGATGCTATCAATGCTATGCACATACATATAGTGTGTTTATGGTCATGTAAACTATATATACAGTAGAATTATTTGATTATATGGCAAGTGAATATACAATTTATCACTGATAAATTCTTCTAGAAAATAGTTACACCAAGAAGCCTTACTGAAAAGGCTACATGGGGGTTAATAAAACAATCCGTGATTGCCAAGGTTTGGTATGGGAAAGTGAGGAATGAATAAGTAGAACAGGAAATTTTTAGGGACAAAATTATTCTGTATGACCCTGTAACTTTAGATACATGTAACTATGCATTTTTCAAAACCAAACTAGAGAAAAACAATCCAAGCAAAAACCTGTAGAATAAAGAGAGTGAACCCTAATGTAAACTATGGACTTTCATCAATTTTAGCTTACCAATATTGATTCAATTGTAACAAAGTCACTATACCAATGTAAAATATCATGGAAATCATAGGACCATGGGGAAAATTTTCTGCTCAATTTTTCAATAACCCTGAAACTGCTGTAAAAGTGTTCCACTAAATTTTCAGGGCTTTACTACTGCATTATAGTTACGCATAGTAGTGGGGTTCATTTTGACATATTCATACATGCATAGAATATAATTTGTTCCATTTCAATCCCCAGTACTTCAACGTTCCCCTTTTTCTCCATTCCCCTCTCTTCCTTTCTTCCCCATGTTCACCTTCCTCTATTCCACTGGTCTTCCTTCTAATTATTGTTTTTTTAAAAATTGGTGCTTTATAGATATACATAAAGGTGGAATTCACTGTGGTGTGTGCACACGTGGAAACAGCATAATTTGGTCAACTCATTGCAAAGATGAGCAGCTCTAACAGTTAGAACCTCTCTATTTCCATCCTTCTTCTCTCTCCTCCAGTTTCCTTCCTCTGCTCTATTTATCAGCCTCCTATATTCATGTGACCTCCACTCCCTTTTTTCCCCCTTGTTTCACTCTCATTTCCACAGATGAGAGAAAACATTCAACTTTTGATTTTCTAAGTCTGCCTTATTTCACTTAGCATAATGCTCTCTGGTTCCATCCATTTACCAGCAAATGATATAATTTCATTCTTCTTTATGACTGAGTAAAAGTGTGTATATACCACACTTTCTTTATCCATTCATCTGTTGATGGGGACTTGGGTTGGTTTCATAACTTGGTTACTGAGACTTGTGCTTCTATAGATATTGGTGTAACTGAATCATTATCATATGCTGATTTTATTTCTTTTGGATAAATACTAAGAGCTGGTATAGGTGGGTCATCTTACTCCAATTAGAATGGCAATCATCAAGAATACAGATAATAATAAATGCTGGCAAGGATGTGGGGAAAAATTACACTCAAACCTTGTTGGTAGGACTGTAAATTAATATAACCACTTTGGGAAACAGGATGGAGATTCCTTAAAAGACTAGGACCATTCCTATTTGTTGAATTACACTAATTTAAACATATATCCACAGAGCTCGAGTGTTCCTATTACTTTTTTTTTAACACTTTAAAGACAAAGATTTCACTTTTTTTCTTGCAGATGTAGCAAATGGCAAATTACATCTCACTATGCTTTTATTTTCTATTCTCATGGTCATTAATGCAATAAAACATCTAACCTAATGTATACTATCTGTTTGTGACAGAGATGACTGACTGCTCACCATACTCATGATCTAAATTTGTTACCGGGAAGGAGCGTCTACATTTTTTAAAAAAACTGATTTAGGGAGTCTAGGCAACACATTCTCAACAGTGGAAGAGAATGTGTGCTATTTCTGGACAGGGTTTTAAAGAAGCAGAAGGATCTTCTCTATTAAAGGAAATAGGTTACCTGCTGTTCTCAGAAAAATTGAGCCTGGCTCTTGAATTACCAGCTGGTGAAAAGCCTTCTACCCACTGGGAGACTCACACTGAATCATGAGAACAAGCACCATTATCCTTATTGCTCTAGAAAAATACATGATCATTTTTTTTCTTGATTTTTTCTATTGGGTGGTTTGTCTTTTATTTATTGCATATAGACTTCATATAATTTGGAAATTAGTCCTTTGTCCATTTTTAAAATTTTAATTTTATTGTTTTATTTGTTATTTTTAGATATACCTGATGGTAGAGTAGATTTTGACATATTATACATACTATCACTTTTCTAATTAGGATCCCATTCTTGTGGTTGTACATGATGTGGAGTTTCACTGGTGGTGTAGTCATACATGAACACAGGAAATTTGTGTCCAATTTATTCTAGTCTCTTTCCTATTCCTATCCCATCCCTTCTTTTCATTCCCCTTTGTCTAATCCACTTAACTTCTATTCTTCCCTGTGGAGAGTGGTGATTCGAACCATGGTCTCTGATTTCCTCATGGCTGCATTTGCAGTGGGAGCTGCCTATGTAATAGTGCAGCATGAGATGCCCCAGTTGCCATGGTAATGCCAGCCAGGGATAGCTATGTGCAAAGGTGAGCAGCTCTAACAGTTGGAACCTTGGATTCAGACACCAACTCCCAGGGGTAAGGAATTCTGGGCATAAAAGATGACCTCGATGTCTTACAAGTTTCCTGTGTCCTTTAGACTGCCTGCTTGGCCAAAACTTTCTCACAAATAACCTGATGACAAAACCTGTATAATAAATATGTCAGTCAAGCCTCATCAGGGCGTGGCTACCCACCTGGTCCCAGCTTTTTCTCTATGTGTGTCTGTCTTTTCTTCATCCCCTCATGGCCTTCTGGTTTCTCAATTAATGGCTATGCTGATGGGGGCACTTCTCTTCCCCCCCGGTTTTGTGTTAGCATCCACATATCAAAGAGAATATTCAACCCTTGGTTTGGGGGGTTTGGCTTAATCACTTAGCTTGACAGTCTCTAGATCCATCCATTTATTGGCAAAAGTCATAAAATCATTCTTTTTATATTGCAAGTGTGTTCATATAAAGATTTTGACTTTTTTTAATGTACCAGTAGTAAAAATAGTCCATTTTAATGTGTTTGAAGTTATTAATTCATCAATTTATGATGTATTGTGTATTTTAAGTGATTTTTTTAAAGGAAGTCACCCTGACAATGGCAATCGTCATCAAGACAACAAGTCAGGGATATGGCATCAGGATAAGTGCAGAAGCTGAGGAAGGGTAGATTTATATTCCTGGTATTTATGCAAATACAGGGGTGCATTGTTTGCTTCAGTAGTAG